TCACACCCTCAGTTCCGGCTAGTGCTCCCCTGTGTACTCACACCCTCAGTTCCGTTTCAACTTTACACAGGTTTTTATATTATTACTAAATGGCGTGTTCCCGAGCATGTGTGCCATGGCACATTTGTGTTGAGGTCAGGGGATAACCTTGGTGAGCTTCTGCCCCGCCCCCTGTACCACGAGGGTTCCAGGTTTTAGGGATTGAGCGCTCATCACAGGTTTGTGCCACGACGGTGCTTTCACCCACTGAATCATCTCAATGGTCCATTTCCATTTTGATGTCTTTTAAAGACATTCCCAAGATTGGTATCTTATTGATCGACGCCAGAAGGAAAGCGTTAGATACTGCCTACTGTTCTTTATAGCGTCTAGGGATAACTGGATGCCTTGCACAGTCCTTTCTTCTGGTCCTTCAGTGGTCAGGAACAATTCCAATTTTGGAGAATTTAGTGTGGAACTGTTAACCAGCCAATGATGCTAACACAAGGGACATGGACCTAGAAATGGGCTCGGATAGAGATGGTCTCAACTAGGGCTGGCACGAGACTTGAGTTCTGCCTAACAGTGCATTGGCCATCAGCAAATGAATAATCTTATTGCAGGCCAATTTCAAACTATGAGTTCAGACAGAAAAGGAAGGTCACCAAGATGTATTGACGTCGCTTCCAAACAGTCTGGTATAGCTATGGTGAGCAGAAGCAGGTGGTGGCCATGACTGCAAACCGTACAGCACAAGGTGGGCAGCATCTTGAATACACCAGGTAGCTGTGAATGCACGGAGAAACTTAGAAGCAGCTCCACACTGTGTCTTAGATGACTCTGGCTGTCATAGGAAGAGGGAATAAAATAGGAAAAGACTGAGGGCTTGGGGTTGTTTAAGAGATGTTCCAGGTGACAGAGACATAAAAAACATGAGATGGAGGACTGGGGATGTAACAGTCAAGTGTTTTCCTAGCATGTATGAAGCACTGGATCTTAATCCCCAGCACTGTCAAACTACGCAGTAGTAGTACACCAGTAATCCCAGCACTGCACAGGTGGAGCAAGGAGGCTTAGGAATTAAAGGTCGTCTGCCTGGGCCTAGGATATTTGAAACCCTATCTCAAGAGGAAGAAAATGTCCACAGTGAGGAAAGGTTATAGAACATAATTTCGGAAAAGGCTCTAATTTGGTATTCCTCAGTTGGTCCCTTAGAATACTGATTGTTTCCTTCCTAGTGCTTGGACTTCTTAGATGTCCCCAGGACATTGCAAAGCATGAACCCCAGCAGTTGGAGTCACTCTGATACCCCACTCCAAGCTCATTACCATCTCTCAGAGTCCAACCCACCCCTTTCCAAATATTATTTCTTCATTTTTTTCACTCAGCTGAGATAGCCTGGGTTTCCTCAGGAAAACATAGAATAAGGTAAAAAGAATTGGCTCAGCTGGTCTGTGGTGACATACATCTTTAGTCCCAGCACTTGGGGGGCAGGGGCAGGTGGATCTCTGAGTTCAAGGTCAGCCTGACCTACAAAGAGTTCCCTCCCGGAACAGCCAGAGCTCTTGTTAAACAGAGAAATCCTGTCTCAAGGAAAAAGAAAAAAAGAATTGGCTCTTGAATTTGATTTCCCAAGGTTTACATTGAGTTTCAGAAAAGCATAGAGTTTGGAGACAATGAGATATCCAGGAAACTAGAAAGATTCTTCTGGAGGAAGAGAGCAAAGAAAAGTGATCAGGGGCTGGCAAGATGTCTCAGTGGGTAAAGGCACTTGCTGCCAAGCCCAACCGCTTGAATTCAATCCCCAAGACCCACATGTTAAAGTTAAACTACTAAGTGTAGTGTCGCATGCCTTTAATCCCAGCACACAGAGAGGCAGGCTGATCTCTGTGAGTTTGAGGCCAGCCTGATCTACATAGTGAGTTCCCGGACAGCCAAAGCTCCATAAGGAGACCCTGTCTCAAAACAAAACACCTTCCTCCCAATAACTGTTCTCCACATGACCGCATTAATATGTACAAAATAAATGTAATCAAATTTTAAAAAACATTTTTTAAGAAGAAGAAGAAAGAAAAGGAGATGGACCCCGAGGAGTCAGCCAGCCCTAAGACAGAAATCAGGGTGTGAGGAACCTAAACCAGCCCCTAAGAAATTCTGATACTCAGCGCAGTGTCTTAAGAGATGTATTAAGCACTACTTGCAGTTCTAAAGGGTAAAGTTCATTTTCTTGATCACTAACATGGATCGTCCTTGAAGAACATGTAATTTTACTTTCCTAATTTCTAAAAGTAGGAAGTAAATTGAGCTTCAGAAAACCAAGAAATGTTCTTATTTAACTGAAGTCTTAATCCATTTGATATTTAGGAAAAAGTGTCTTTTTGGAAGATGGATCTGGACTTCAGAGACCAAGAAAGATGTCTTGAGTGGGGACAAGTCTCTTCTGTGATTCTCTGCGACGACTCCGAGAAGATTCCATGCCTTTCTATTATCTATCTATTCAACTTCCTTTTGGGTAGTATCTTGAGCAGGTGGACAAGCCTGGTACTAACAGAGTCCAGGAGTGGAGCAGAGACAACATCCGGGGGTCCCTGGATGATGAATGAAAAGAGTCAGGCTAATTCTGGGGCATTAACGAGATAGGGAGGTGGTTAAGACTTTTAACGTATTCAGGGTAAATGATGTCCATTTACAAATAAACATGAAGAAACATAAACAGGAATCAAACAACCTCTCTCCCTTTCCTCCCTCTCTGTCATGTGTATATTCTTAAGTATTGAATTCAAAACTTAAGAATGATAAGCAAGTGCTTTATAGTTATTTTATTCTTTAACTTCATTAAGTTAGGTATATTTTGAGCTTGGCATGGTGGTGCACACCTTTAATCCTAGCACTCTGTAGGCAAAGACAAGTAGATATCAGTGAGTTCGAGGCCAACCTGGATCTTCATAGAGAGTTCCAGGACATCCAGGATTACATAAAAAGGCCCTGTTTCAAAAATAAAACAAAAAAAGTTTTATATTTTAGCTCTTTTCTTTCTTTTGGAAGATCTAACTACAAACTGAAAGGCTCCTTTAATGTAAAGAGAAAAATTCAAAGGAAATTTTTTTTGTTCTTTTATAATGGATATTAGAATACCTCTAATACAGCTACTGCACAGGTTTATTTTGGAGACTGAACCTGGTGTTCAGTGAAGGCAGCAGACTACGAACTTTACTGTTTTAGGGTGTGTGCATGCAGCAGCAGAAAGTAATGCTAGGACATTGTATCCATTAATTGTAGTGATGGTTGAGCCCAGGAAATTTGACTAGTTAATTTATGTTGAAATGCTAATATTTTGGATAATGTTGGATTAAAAAATGAATATTATCGAAAACCAGTTTCTGTTGTTTGTTTTTGCTCCTTAATATGTCTCTACACCATTTGACATTATGCATTGCTCATGGCACATATTTGTGGCTTATGTAACATTTTGTCGAAATAGGCACATTGTGTCAAATTACATCTTGCTTAGTGTACACTTTTATCAGTGAGTTCATTGCTAATGCCACTGAGTAATATGGCACCAATTTTACTTTTGAAAATCTGGTTCTGGTGTGTGTCCCAATTTACAAAGCACCCACTATTGGTGAGAAAAGGAGAGCTGGAGCAGCTTCCACCCCTGGAGTATGAATTGCCCATTAAAAGAGTGGGCGCCTGTTCTGTACAGAGCCAGGAATGGTAGCAGTATCTTTGGTTTAGAATGAGTGAGCTTATTAAACATGTAGCAAAAAGTGAAAGCCTAAGCCATGCTCAAGTGGGACAAAATAACATGATAGATTCCTTTCCTAACAACCATGTGTACAGGAGGTGGGGCAAGTCAAATGAAGCTCCAGATGACACCTCTGGGCATCCACAATTACAATATGTGTGATAAGACATATGGCCTCATCTTTCTTGTGTTGAAACCATGGAATTCCATCATGTTTCTTTACTCTTCTGGGCCTGCAAGCTAACAACTCAGGTATCTTTTCAAAAGAAATGGGATGACTGTCTACATTTAATCTGTGAGATTCATGAATCCCATGGGGATATATCATGGAGATGGGCTCATTTTATCCTGTAACTGAGTTCACCATAAGCGTAAAGGAACCATGTGGTTTGTGGTTGTTTTAGCTAGCTACCTTTTCAAGATGGAGGCGACCATGTGACTGGGCTATCATCTTGGTTTGAGATGCCATCAATATTGAGACAGCCATAGGACATGGTGCCATCTTGGATAGGGACAGTGACATCATGAAATGGTGGAGGCTGTGAAACTTCATTGACATGTTGGTTAATGCAACCTCATGACAGGAACCAAAACAGCAGCACCTGTAAAAGTTTTCCGTGCAATCGATTCCCCAGGCAATCGATTCCCCAGGCAATCGATTCCCCAGGCAATCACTACACTCCTTTTTATGTCAGGCCTAGAGGTAATACCATACCTCCCTGGTGGGTTTTGTTTTTTTTTTCTAATTTGTTTTTGTTTTCTTTTCTTCTTTTTCTTTTTTCTTTCTTTTTTTTTTTTTTTGAGGGGGTTTGAGACAGTTTCTCCTTGTAGCCCTGGCTGTCCTGGAACTTGCTCTGCAGACCAGTCTGGCCTAGAATTCACAGCTGCCTGCCTCTGCTTCCTGAGTGCTGGGATTAAAGGCATATTAAAGGCATATGCTACCACCGCCAGGCTTGCTTTGTTTCAATTTTGACTCTTATTTTACATGGTTATTTACTGGTTTGAAGAATGGACATAGAGTTTTCCCAGCCATGTGCCTTCAACACTAGACAAGTATCAAAGGAACCGATGGGGAACGGCCAGCTCCTTGGAAAGTTCCCGTGAATTGGTAGTAGCCCAGGGAAAACTCGGGAAGACACATCCCAAATACGACCTAAAAAATAGATTGCCAGGTGCTAGAGGCTGCTAGCCTGCTTGGGTGGGAAGCTAGAGGAGGTGCAGGCTATGCTAGATCTTGTCAAGGCCAGCTTTTACAGCCTGTCATCTCCGCATCTATTGTTCTCCGACACAAAGTATTCTTCAAGACTCTGTTGTTCCATGCTTGTTGTTTGTTTTTGTTTCTGCTGCCACCAAGACCTGCTTGTCTTACCTTCCAGTCACAGTGACATAGACAGGCTAAGGAAAAAAACAGACTAAAGCCGTTTCTTTCCAGCTCCATTTAGGTTTTATTGTTTTCTCTGTATTCCTTAGATTACAGGTACTTAATCCAAGACTGCATATGGTAAATTATAATGTAGCTTTCCTAATTCAGGCAGCCTGACTGATAGCCCTCTTCAAAAATGGAAATTTGGGGCTCGTAGAGATGGCTCAGCATTTAAGATCACTGATTGTTTTTCCAGAGGACTCAGATTTGATTGTGAGCACCCACATGATGGTTCAGAGACATCCATCAATTCACTTCTGGAGGAACAGTTGGCTTCTTCTAGTCTACACGGGCACCAGGCATGCATGTGATACAGAGATATATGTGTAGGCAACATACCCATACACATACAAATATTTGTTTAAAAGCAAAAATTCACCCTGAACACTATCTTGTTTACCCTCCATCTAGGTTGAAATGTAATATGGATTAGCAGATTATAAATTTGAGGAAAATGGTCAAAAGGGGGTATTAGAAGTTGAAACACAAAGGAACCAAGATCTCCAAAGCCTCATAGAATTTTTGTATTGTCCTACAACTTGATCTCTTTAGAAGAATGTGGGTTCTTACTAAGTTTTTCAAATTGTCTGATCTCATTTGCAGGCACACTCAAACTAATTGAAAGTAGGCAAAGGGCTCAGTCACTCCAAGTCAAGCTAGGAAGGACTCACTTTGGACACTGGCAAAGGCAGGCACTTTTGTCAGCTTGATCTATCTTGATCATGGGTTCTGACTGCTTCTCACCCATGATCTTGGACAGTTTAAGATAGCAGAGGGTGGCCTTTCCAAATCAAGTGTTCTGTCTCATAGAGAGCTATAATTTTCTGTGTGTTTCCCATATCTTATTAATTCCTGTTCTTCAGTTTCTCAATGCACAACCCAATAGATGATAAGACACATTTGGACAAATTAATGCATACAGATTAAAAGGTGTCTTGAGTCAAGCCATTTGTCATTGTCGACCTAGTCAACGCCAACCAATGGACTCAGTTTTATTAAGGAATAATGCTTTTTAATATATTGTGTATAATGAAAAAAGTTTCTTCACCCCATAAATCACTCCACCGATACAATAATCCAAATCAGACCAAATCAAACCAAATTAGAAAAAGCCCAAGTTTAATGGATACCAACGCTCCCAGATGACTTTTCAGCCCCCAGGGAGAAGACCGGAAAATCCGTGTTTGTTCTTGGGAGGCAGTTTACTCTGTGGGAGTGGTCTTGAGCATCTCTGGGGAGGAGTCATCATTTGGCAGACTTTCTCAGGACTGGAGTCTGGACTGAGGGAAATCCCAAGGGAGGGGGCTTGGGTTGGAACTTCCACCCGAACATATAGTATTATTTATCTCACTGAGTTGATTGAAAGCATTAATGGTAAACTCTAAGTCATCAGTATCTGGTGTTGCTTTAAAGAAATAAAAGCAGCACTTCCCTTCAGAGTCATTTAACTGAACGTGAGTCTAGATTTGAATTCTTTCCTTTATGTTCTCGGTGTCTTCTGTCCTCTGTTTGCTGCATGAGTCTGAATCTGTGCCTGCCTGAAGGCTGTCTTGTTGATGTGTCCCTGTGTCTGTGTCTGTGTTTTTCTGTTAATCACCATTATGACGGGTGTTGTGATCTGGGGAGTAGGGGGATATTTGCTTTCACTGTGAAGATGTGTCTTTGTCAAGGTGTCTTATGATTGGTTCACTAAAGAGCTGAATGACAGGAGGAGGTTAGACAGAACGTCCTGGGAGAGAGAGAGAACTCAGGGAAGAAGAAAGGCAGAGTCACCAGCCAGACTCGGAGGAACCAGGATGGGCAGTAGAGAGATGAGGTAAGGAACTTCGTGGAAGAACTTAGATTTAAAACTGTGGGTTAATTTACATTATAAGAACTAGTTAGGAACAATTCTAAGCTAAGGCTGAGCTTTCTTCATTAACAATAAATCTCCATGTCATTAACTGCAGGCTGGAGATCTCAATGAGGAAATACTATTACAAAGGAGGATCTCACAGAAAGAGAAGATGGGTGGTTACCTAAGGTTGGTTTGGTACAACATAAGATAAAGGAAGACGATCAAAAGAGATAAAGCTGGCTACACTGAAAAAATGGGATGCACAGAAAAGTATTGTGTGATGCACCTAAAAATGCCTAAAAAGCTGGCTGAGGTGGGGTACTCTTTTAAGTCTTGCACTCAAGAAGCAGAGGCAGGTGGATCTCTGTGAGATTAAGGGAAAGTGGTTTTTTTTTAATCAAAATAAATTGTTTGAAAAAAGAATTTTAAACAAAAATTAAAAGAGAGGAGAAGTAATGAAAGAACCTTGTGGAAACAGATTAGAATAGAAATACTGTGATTTCATGATTATGTCAGTGTGCACACTTGTGAATATACATGTGTATGTGTGTATGTATATATGCATGTGTGCATTCATCATATATGTGCATGCAATTTCACAACTTTTTGTCATTTTCTGAGAAATAAGTGACCTCAAGACATAGACAGGGTTGTTTCAACTGAG